CAACAACAAATGTTGGTGAGGGTGTGGATAAAGGGGAACCCTCCTACACTGCTGGTGGGAATATAAATTAGTTCAACCATTGTGGAAAGCAGTATGGAGGTTCCTCAGAAACTCAATATAGAAATACCATTTGACCCAAGAATTCCACTTCTAGGAATTTACCTAAGAATACAGCAGCCCAGTTTGAAAAAGATAGATGCACCCCTATGTTTATTGCAGCACTGTTTACAGTAGCCAAGAAATGAAAGCAATCTAAGTGTCCATCAGTAGATGAATGGATAAAGAAGACGTGGTACATATACACAATGGAATATTATTCAGCCATAAGAAGAAAACAAATCCTACCATTTGCAACAACATGGATGGAGCTAGAGGGTATTATGCTCAGTGAAATAAGCCAGGCAGAGAAAGACAAGTACCAAATGATTCCACTCATCTGTGGAGCATAAGAACAAAGAAAAAACTGAAGGAACAAAACAGCAGCAGACTCACAGAACCCAAGAATGGACTAACAGTTACCAAAGGGAAAGGGACTGGGGAGGATGGTGAGAAGGGAGGGATAACGGGGGGGGAGAAGGAAGGGGCCTTTAAGATTAGCATGTATAATGTGAGGGGAGGCACGGGGAGGGCTGTTCAACACAGAGAAGACAAGTAGTGATTCTATAGCATCTTACTATGCTGATGGACAGTGACTGTAATGGGGTTTGTGGGGGGGGACTTGGTGAAGGGGATGTCTAGTAAACATAATGTTCCTCAAGTAATTGCAGATTAATGATAAAAAAAATTCAGTGGTGAAGCCATGTGATCCAGGAGTTTTGTTCTTAGGAAGTTTTTGATTACCGGTTCAATTTTGTTGCTGGTAATTGGTCTATTTAGATTTTCTGTTTCTTCCTTGTTCAGCCTTGGAAGGTTGTATTTTTCTAGAAAGTTGTCCATTTCTCCCAGGTTATCCAGTTTGTTAGCATATAATTTTTCATAGTATTCTCTAATTAATTCTTTGTAATTCTGTCGTGTCCATAGTGATTTTTTTGTTTCTCATTTCTGATTCTGTTTATGTGTATAGATTCTCTTTTTTCTTCATAAGTCTGGCTAGGGGGTTATATATTTTGCTTATTTTCTGGAAGAACCAGCTCTTGCTTTCATTGATTCTTTCTATTGTTTTATTCTTCTCAATTTTATTTACTTCTGCTCTAATCTTTATTACTTACACCCCTCCTTCTACTGACTTTGGGCCTCATTTGTTCTTCTTTTTCTAGTTCTATTAATTTTGAGTGTAGACTGCTTGTATGGAATTGTTCTTTCCTGTGGTAGGCCTGTATTGCAATATACTTTCCTCTTAGGATGGCCTTTGCTGCATCCCACAGATTTTTGTGGTGTTGAATTATTGTTGTCATTTGTCTCCATATATTGCTTGCTCTCTGTTTGTGTTTGGTCATCAATCCATTGGTTATTTGGGAGCATGTTGTGAAGCCTCCATGTGTTTGTGGGATTTTTCATTTTCTTTGCATAATTTATTTCTGGTTTCATACATTTGTGGTCTGAGAAGCTGGTTCGTACAAGTTCCACCTTTTTGAATTTACCGAGGCACTTTTTGTGGCCTAGTATATGATCTATTCTTGAAAATGTCCCATGTGCACTTTAGAAGACTGTGTATTCTGCTGCTTTTGGGTGGAGAGTTCTGTAGATCTCTATTAGGTCCATCTGTTCTAGTGTGTTGTTCAGTGCCTCTGTGTCCTTACTTATTTTCTGTCTGGTTAATCTGTCCTTCAGAGTGAGTGGAGTGTTGAAGTCTCCTAGAATGAATGCATTGCATTCTATTCCTCTTTTAATTCAGTTAGTATTTGTTTCACACATGTTGGTGCTCCTGTGTTGGGAGCATAGATATTTATAATGGTTATATCTTCTTGTTGGATTGACCTCTTTATCATTATGTAATGTCCTTCTTTGTCTCTTATGACTTGCTTTGTTTTGAAGTCTATTTTCTCTGATACAAATACTGCAACTCCTGCTTTTTTCTCCCAATTAGTTGCATGAAATATCTTTTTCCATCCCATACATATCCCTTTAGTCTGTGTATGTCTTTGGGTTTAAAGTGAGTGTCTTGTAGGCAGCATAGCGATGGGCCTTGTTTTTTTTATCCATTCAGTAACTCTGTGTCTTTTGATTGTTGCATTCAGTCCATTTACATTCAGGGTGATTATCGATAGGTATGTACTTACTGTGATTGCAGGCTTTGGATTTGTGGTTACCAGAAGTTCAAGGTTAACTTCCTTACTATCTAAGAGCCTAATTTAACTCACTTCATATGCTATGACAAACAATCTAAAGGTTCTTTTTTTCTCCTCCTTTTTCTTCCTCCTCCATTCTTTATATATTAGGTATCATTTTCTGTACTCTTTGTCTATCCCTTGATTGACTTTAGGGGTAGTTCATTTAATTTTGCATTTGCTTAGTAATTACCTGTTCTACTCTCTTTTCTGTGGTTTTATTACTCTGGTGACTGCTGTTAAACCTTAGGAACACTTCCACCTATAGCAGTCCCTCCAAAATAGACTGTAGAGATGGTTTGTGGGAGGTAAATTCTCTCAGCTTTTGCTTATCTGGAAATTGTTTAATCCCTCCTTCAAACTTAAATGTCAATCTTGCTGGATAAAGTAATTTTGGTTCAAGGTGCTTCTGTTTCATTGCATTAAATACATCATGCCACTCCCTTCTGGCCTGTAAGGTTCCTGCTGAAAAGTCTGATGATAGCCTGATGGCCTTTCCTTTGTATGTGATCTTATTTCTGTCTCTGGCTACTTTTAACAGTCTGTCCTTATCCTTGATCTTTTCCATTTTAATTACTATATGTCTTGGTGTTGTCTTCCTTGGGTCCCTTGTGTTGGGAAATACGTACACCTCCATAGCCTTAGAGACTATCTCCCTCCCCAGATTGGGAAAGTTTTCAGCAATTACCTCCTCAAAGACACTTCTATCCCTTTCTCTCTCTCTTCTTCTTCTTCTGGTACTCCTATAATGCGAATATTGTTCCATTTGGATTGGTCACACAGTTCTCTCAATATTCTTTCATTCTTAGAGATCCTTTTTTCTCTCTGTGCCTCAGCTTCTTTATATTCCTGTTCTCTAGTTTGTTTCATTTATTGTATCCTCCACTGTATCCAGTCTGCTTTTAATACCCACCATTGTGTTCTCCAATGATTGGATCTCCAACCGGAATTTATTCCTGAGTTCTTGAATATCTTTCTGTACCTCCATTAGCATGTTAATGATTTTTATTTTGAACTCCTTCAGGAAGAGTCATGAGGTCCATGTCATCTTTCTCAGGTGTTATATTAATTTTACTCTGTACCATGTTCCTTTGGCATTTCATATTTGTGTATGGTACCCTCTAGTTTCCAGAAGCTCTACTCTTTGACACTGCTCAGCCCCTTAAGCAATGTTGGGTGTCACAGGGGAGTGGGATTGGTGCCTGGGGGGAGGAAAGAGCTGTTTCCTGCTTCCCAGCTGCTATGCCTATCTCCACGGCCTGAACCAGTGGGCCAAGCACACAGGTATAAGCTTTTGTCCAGAGCAGCCAGATATGGATCCATGCTTTCTACAAACACCTGGAATCTCAGTCTCTCCAGGAACTCCACCTGTCCCAGCTTTCCAACCCCGTAATCATGAGAGTATTATGAAAGCACCATGAAATGTAGGTTTGTGCTCCCAGAGCAGATCTCCAGAGTTAGGTATTCAGCAGCCCCAGGCCTCCACTCCCTCCCTGCTCAGTTTCTCTTCCTCCCGCTGGTGAGCTGGGGTGGGGGAAGGGCTTGGGTCCTGCTGGGCCACAGCTTTGGTATGTTACCCCATTCCGTGAGGTCTGCTCTTTTCTCCAGGTGTATGCAGTCTGGCGCAGTCCTCTTTCCTGTTGCTGTCTCAGGATTCATTGTATTAATTATATTTTCATGTTATCTGTGGTTTTAGGAGGAAGCCTCTGACCCACCTCTCACGCCGCCATTTTTAATCCCTTTGCACTTTTTGACAAAGGTTCTATGATGTGCAAGTCCGAACGTTGAGGCTGGGGTGCCCCTTCTTTCCAAGTAACACCACTGCGGGTTCTGGAAGTACTGACCAGCTGTTATATTGTCTCAACTCTATGGCTCTAGTGGGGAAAGAGGCCTTTGGGATAGCCTCATTTGAGCACCAGGGTTGCTTGGGCCCACAAGTCCTCACAATCCTAAGCCCGGAATGACCTGGTCTGGCAGCATCCAGGGATAACATGCTTTGCCTCATACATGGGTTATAGGAAAAGCACTTTGTGAAATGTATTTCCCTGCCTGGGAAATCAAATTAAGACCTCTGTTCTCAGTTCTTTCCAGACCACCCACATGTGAACACTTTTCAGTTTGGAGCAGAAGCTGTGATTTTCAACAGTGGCCACTGGTTTGGACTCTCCCCCAAAGCCACAGATTTACCCCAAAATGTGGCCCCATGCCACATTTAAATATTTAGGCTGATGAGCCTGATACCAAAGTCATCCTTCCCTGAAGGCATTGGCAATCAGAAAACCAACAGCATTGTACCCTAACACCAAACAATTTTGCTTTGACAGAGAAGATTGGCAGAATCTGAGGGCTTTTCCTTACCTTGGCCAAACTCCATTAGGTGTCCTTGAGTACACAGTTCCCGTTGTCTCACTGCAGGGTCTTGCAAAATATGGAGAAAAGGATTATTTTCTTCTTAAGGTTAATGAGCCAAATGTTTGCAAGATGGCTTGAGAAGAGTGCTGGAAAATTTTTAAACAAATTTTTCCAAAGCCATTTCCTCAAAACCCCACTTTATCAAATTCCTTATTTCAAAAACTAAGTTCAATTCTAAAATGATATTAAAAAGGATCAAGGTCACATTCTGAAATCTGTCACAGACCTTGTCACAAACATTGGAACCAGCTTTGTCAAGCTAAGGCCATGGAAATTATGTCTTAATCTAACTGTTCGTTTCCATTTTTTCTAACTTTGTAGTACCAGAAACATGCAATTCTCTTCATATGACAGTCATTCAGGGTTATGATAACAAGCTAACTGTCTCCCAGTGATGCATACGTCCCAGTGCTTCCTGTCTCAAGGCCCACTTGCTTGCTTTTCTTGCAAACTTCATCCTGCTCAGTCATCTCAGCCAGAACTTTCCTGCTTCACAGCTGAAGGTAAGCACATTTTCTTCCAATTTCATGGGTTCTTAAATGCCTTGGGGTCATGAAATAGAGCAGGTTAGAAACAAATCTAAGAAAAGGTTATGTTGAGAATTTCTCCTAACAGTTCATCCTTTTAAGGATATTTTTTTGCTGTGTGTAAGCAGCATTCATCTCCCATTCATTGTATAAACTGCTTTGGCCAAGGTCTCTGCTAGGTACTGGGTTTTCTTTATTCCTGGGAGAGTATATTGTTTTTCTAGTTAAACTATAACAATAAAATTCTATTACCCTTTTGTTTAACAAAGGCAGCCTTTCATATTAGTGAAATTATTAACATCTCTTTATTCTTAGTCTTAAATTATTATCAAGCCCTATTCAAGAACTATGGCCTGATTTTCCTAATGGAATTGGGGGTGAAAAAGCATATTTCTTCTACCCCTTCATGAGAGTTACCCCTTTACTTAACTAACTTTTGTGTTTTTAGGAACACAGTATGCCTCTAGTGATTAGGGATGCTTCCTGTGCCTGCGGTGTTAGGATCTAAGTAACTCTGCCGTCAGCATATGCATGTGGGTGATTTGCGGTTCTGGGACAATTTATGCTCTCTGCCTCTTGGTCCATTGGTTCAGGGGTGGCTTTTTAAAATACTTTACACTTAGAAAAATGGAAAGGAACAGTTAAGTTGAGACATAATTTCCATGGCCTTAGCTTGACAAAGCTGCTTCCAATGTTTGTGACAAGGTCTATGGCAGATTTCAGGTCCATTGCTTGCTGACTTCCTAGCAAGCAATAAAGGGTATAGTATAAATAAGAATTTAAAGTATATTCATTAGCACACACTCCTCCACAGTAGTTATCACTTGGACAGCCATGTATTCACAGCTAACTTGAGACACTTAGTCTTTGTCTGGTTGGCTCTGTCATAGCAGCCATGCAGTCTCCAGATTGGAAGTCCAAGTCTTTTTATAAAAAACAGCTATTCTCCATGTTTCTACTTCCCTAGGTTGCACTAAACTTTCTCTCCTTCTCTCAAACACATATACACACATTCAGATGTACATGCGTACACATATACACATGCAAAGCCCGAGGGATAGAAATGGTACAGGGATGAGAAGGGATATGCTGACAGGAGACCCTGAGCAAGACTGGGAATTTTGCCTTTCAGGGGTCCTGCATCTTTTGCAGCAGAAGTGTTTCTCTAGCAGTATTGCCCCCTCTCTGCTCAGAGCCACTTAAGGCAGTTCACTGTAAAGGGTGTGTAAAGGATTTCAAAAAGCCACCCTTAAGCTTTGCCTTGTTAACTTTTCCAAGTATGTTTTCTGTATGAATACTTAATGGCTAATTAATCTTTCAGGATACTTTTTTGCTGGGTGTAAGCAGCATTCATCTCCCATTCATTGTATAAATTGCTTTGGCCAGGGTCTCTGCTAGGCACTGGGCATACAGAGATGGTGAGGGCATTTCTTAACCTAAAGAACTCAGAATGCACTGAAAAGGGATTCCCATGTATTTTAATGTTAGCAATGCCATGAGAGATAAGGAGAAACAGTGTATAGGAGCATAAATCAGAGGCTCATGATCCTTTGGGAGAGGGGGCAGTGTAGGACAGTGTGCACAGAGAAAGGTGCCTCTGTGTTGAGTGTGAAAAGGTGAGGAAAGAAGTGGGGAAGGGATGTCACCTGGACACTGTATGGCAGGAACAGGCTCAAAGGAGAAAGACTGTATAAGCAGACAGACAGATGATCTGCGGTAGATGGAACCCAGGTATTTGGAGCCCAGAGAAGTGAAAGACAAGCAAGAAGGTGAGGAAATGGTGTAAATGTCATCTTAAGTCTGTGCTTTGTTCTCTGGCTATGAGGAGCCATGGTAATAAAATTTAGATCATTTTAAAATGCTCAACTCAAAATATGTATGTGCCAAGCACTTTTCCAGCAACTTATGCATATGTCAAGTGTCAAAGTATAGGGCCAGTAAGCATTTATGAGGCTGCATCCTCTGCAGGGAACGAAGAGCATGGAGACATGCAGGAAGGGTCTTGGAGGAAGTGTGAACCAGTGAAGCCGAACTTCAAGAAAGGGAGGAGTGGAGTTGGCAGTAAGTCAAGGTTGGGGTGAGGAGGGCAGGGGAGGGGAGCTGCCCCACGCATGGAGGGAGCCTTCCCAGCTGTATAATTTGGACAAAAGCTCACTTCTTGAGACCTTCATTTACTTATCCTAAGATGTGATGACCTTGTCATTCCCACCTAATCCCAGACTCCTGGTGAATATCAAATGAGAGATTATACTGTAAGTGCAGAGCTCTGGATGTGGTGTAAAATCTATACACCTGATAAGGACAGGCAACTTCCCACTTGCTGCATACACTGAGGAGAGCTTCTACTTTTACAGTGCAGTGGGAGAGAAAAGAGGAAGGGTGCCTCACACCCCAAAATACAGGGTCACTGGAAGGCCTCTTATAGTTGGTCCTGGATGGAATTCAAAGAAGGGTGTGCTCTGGATTCAGATGAGCCATTGTTTATCATGGATGAGCATTGCCATGTGAATAGCCAATTTCAGAGCTATAGCTTCTGTTCAGTGAGAGCAAGAATATTTGCATTAGCTGATCATGTTGATTTGATGCTAACAAAGACTGTAAAGACAGCCACAATCCACAAGTTAGAAATGCATCTATGCTGGAGTTCCTCCTCACTTTTTCTTTCAACAGAGTACTGATTAATAATATCCACAATGTGATTCAATTTGATTCAGCAGCACCAAAACAACCTTAGAGTCAGGAGCTCCCAGGCCTAGTGTTGCCCGGGTTCTTGTTCATGGAGCCGAAGAATGAACTTCGCAAACAGTCAAGGTAGGAGAGCAAGGCAGAGGCTTTTATTTAGAGAAAGCAAGAAGATAGAGCTCCTGGCTCAGGCCAGGAGGAGACAAGAGAGCCCAGGGGTGGTGGGTTGTCGAGGGGTTTTATAGGCAGTTGAGAGACAAAGGGCTAGGGATGCACACCTGCTAAGTGGTCCCAAATACCTTTTGAAGAAACACTAAATTTCTTATTAGTCTTCCTGGTTATTTACAAGAATTTTACTGCTCTGATTTCCTCCCAAGATAGCAGCTTCCTGGTCTGGGAGCATATCACTCAAGACTGCCTGCTTTGCTCCGAAGGTGGGCTGAGTTGTCTGTTTTTCAAGAAACTTTAACTAATTGGGTTTTAAGATGGAATCCTTCCTGTTTTTACTATGTTGTTTTGGGCTTGCTTGCTACATTGCCTAAGTTGCAACAAATTATTTGTTTAGGGCTGGAGGAAGAAAAGCAGCACTTGGGTAAAGTAAAGTTAGAAAAATAAGCTGTGCCCCCCAGCAGGCCAAAGCAAATCTCACAATGGATTCTCTTGCTTTTGTTTTTTTCCAGAGGCCCTCACCCTACTCTAAGCCCATGGTCCCTGTCTCACCAAGCTCCTTCCACAGCTCTGCACCCAAACCAACCCACCCTTAAACAGGCGCACATGCTTGGGGGAGGGACCCTGACCCAGTCAAATTAGCCTGTGGACTGGAATCCTGATGCTCCCACTTAGGCTCAGTCTCCAGAGGCTGTTTGAATAAAGGAGAAAAGATGGGCCTTGGAGCAATGCAGATGTAGCAGCTGGATGACCTTAAGCAAGTTAGTTGACCTCTCTGAGCCTCAATTTTCGTATCTTTGAAGTGGATGGGGGAGCAGGACATCAGAAGAGCACCTACTAATAGTTAATTGGTACATTAAAGGAGAATACCTTTCACTGTGTGCCCTCTCTGACCTTAACATAGAGACCATGTAAGAGAAACCATGGCAAAATCAAATTGCCCTTAAGTACAGAATTTCACATTAAATGATATATACAGAATGATGTACTGGAAAGTTTGCTTTTTTATCTGTTACAGTTCAATTAAAATTGCTAAGCACACATTTTAGGCCCTATACAATAGACAATGAGTTGCCTACAGTGCTTGTAGTAAAGTTAATCTTTTTGTTTATCAGGTACACCATGTAGTCCCCATGACTCAGATTAGCAAGTCACCATATTCTTATCTGTTCTCTTTCTCAGGTGTCTTATATCCTCAGCTAGATTTTGGTGAGCAGTATGGTGTTTTGTATCTTTTTTTATTACCAACCACACATAACCTGAAATTGGAACCTAGAAGGTTCCCACAAAGTTGATTAATTACCTAGATTAAAGCCAAAAGATCCAAAAGTTTTCTCCCCTATAATTCTCCCATATACACACTCCTGCCACTCCCCCTGGATAACAACTTGGAAGCTGAGACCCACCTTGGGGGGCACACAGCACAAAGTGATCACTAGTTTCTCAACACTCCAGAGCAGGGTCCAAAGACCAAAAGCTGCCCTTGTGCTGAGGGCAACCTAGTCCAGTTAGGCTGGTGTCAGCTCACTTCCCAAAGGTGCTGATAAGAGGAGCCAGGTGAGTCAGAGAAGGCCTCAGGAAGTCCATCCAAATATATGAAAAGGGTTAAAAATTTCTCATCTGGAAGAGGAAAGCAGCTGTTTAATATTGTTTTATTTAATGGCATTTGTTCAGCAGACTGAACCAGTTAGAAACTATTTCATGCTGTGGCAAAAGAAGGGAAATCTGGAGCCATTTTAGGGAGGGGAATGGAAACAGAACTTTGCAGAGAAGAATCTAGTACTGATTCTTAATCTAGTGCTGAATCTAGTACTTAACTGCAAAAAGGGTGTGGGGAAAAAGGAAGTTCCTATGACCAAGATTGGCACCTGACCCTAAACTGCTTGATGATGTAATTGGCCTACTGCTAGGCTAATGCTTCCACACCCTAGGCAAGAAGCTATTATTGACTGAGTTACTAGATAAAGAGCTCCCCCCAGTGCTCTGGGTGGAGGCTGAGACAAAGGTGGAATAAGGATCTGCAGACTGCTGGATGCAGATGTGATTCTAGTGCTCGACCTACTGCCAGGAGAATAAAGCTGGGTATAAACACTTTTACCCGAAGAATGTTCTATTATCATTTCTCAGTCTCACTGAATCCATAGTGAACTTGCCTGGGGCTGAAACACTCAGGAAAGACAAAGGGTTTGATGGAGTTTCTTGACTCAATAAAAATGAAGCTCCAGGAGAGATAGTTATAAATTCACAGCATCTTAGTGTACTTATAACTATTTTTTCATCTTCTTTTCTTCAATTTTGATTTCTTTGAACTGTCGTTGGTCAGATTAGGCTTCAATGTTAATAGAAAACCATTTTCCTTAGCCATTTTTCTTTCCTTCATCCAACTTTCACACGAAGGAGAGAATAATTACTTCCCATGCAGTCCAGCCAATCATTAGCATTTATTTTTCCTAGATAAAAACACTTCAAACAGAATCAGAGAAGGGATGTCCTGCTTCTGGGAGACCTATAACCTTTTCAACTCACCAGGCTACCTTTTGATTTGCACCAAATGGAACCCCAGAGATGTGAAATTAGTGAACATTTTAATTCCTCTACATTGATAATATTGGTCTTATTCTTTTTAATTGTGGTCTGTATTTCCTAACTTTTATTCATAGAATGATACAACACTTTTTGTTAGGCTGGAGGAAGGAAAAAGAAGGACATGAAAACAGAACAGAGAGATGCCATAGGGGGAGAACAGACCAGACCCCAAGGTCCATGCCTTATATGGAAAGGGGACAGCTCTTCCTGAATTCCATCCTTCTGATGTGCCAACTAAGACCCGGATGTCAGCCTCCTTCTTCTTGGAAGGAAAAAAAGTTTCTAGTTGTCTATTATGTCACCTTTAGCCTATCATACCTCTCCACACCCCCTAGGATAATTTACCCACTCCTCCCCCTCCTAATCCCTTATAAGTCCCCACCTCCCTGACTGGGTGTGACTTCTCCAGCCTGTAATACACAGGCCGTGGAACATCATCTGGGGGTGCATGCAAATAAACTACCTGGCCCTTTGTTGCCTCTCTTCGCCTGCTTATTTCGGCTAGAATTTATCTTACACTTTTTATCCTGAATATCTCACATACTTCAGGTTTTAATATAGACAGACCTCATGTAACCAGTATGGGTAGTTCCACAAAATAGTGGTAAAAGTAGTCACATCCCTTAATATTTGAATTAAGTGCTCAAGCACCAATCTGTTATATTGGAGGGGAAAAGCCAATATCTTCCTCTAGGCTGTCTCTGTACCCTGAATTTTCAAAAACCTTACCAGCTTACAGACTCCAAAGCTGAGTAATGGTGGTCTTGCATTTGGTCAATCTACCACTGTCTTTACTTCTCATTGCCACATGGTGCCACACTGTTGGGAACCACTACACCTTCCAAGTGTTTGCTGTCCAGGTGGCCATGGTTCCCTTAGGCACCTGGGCCAGCCCTGCCAGGCATGCCTCATCAGGATGCTCAGACCCAGGCTCATACTCATCAGCACTTTCAAACCCATCAGCTGTAACCCCCAGGGTACTAAACAACCCTGAAGTTCTGGGCCACAACTGGGTTTGACCTTCACCTTCCCACTCTTCCTCTTCAAAGACCCACTGATTTTTTTTACCTAAGACTAAACTGTCCTGGAGGTTGGACATTTTTCCTTTTCAACATTCAAAAACTAAGACATCAGATTTCAACTACATTCTACTCGCAAAATGTACTCTTTTGCCCCTTTTAAGTAAAACAGTCTTCCTTTCTCTCTTGCACAAAAGGTCTCATTATTTTCTGCTTTTACCACCCATGAAAACATTGGCCCTGAACATGCTCCTGTGTTTTCTGGGACATGAGAACCTGATAGTTCACCATTTCTGAGAAGAGTGAAGGCTGTCCATTTTACTGGCACTACTTCAAAAGAAGAGGAAAACAAAATTTTAATCTCTGGCAAAAGCACTCATTTTGCCACAAAATTTAACAGAAATATTATCCACTAAAACTTTTAAGATATGACATATGAAAAAATGAACCCACTAACTCTGTTTCTTGCACATATTATGTCCCCCAAATATATCTCTTTAGAAACACAAACTGTTGATATCCCATTGATTAGGGTCACATTTTGACACATTAACAAGTAGTTACTTGGCACCTCAGTAAGTCACTGAAGTGGATGTAAAGAGGAGG